CCACCACCACCACCACCACCACCACCACCACCACCACCACCACCACCACCACCACCACCACCTATTTTACTACTTACAGTCTGGCTGCTGTCCCAAGTGTTAATTAAATGTCTTGAATTTACTATTGATGTCCTTCCTACTAATGGCAAACTATTGCGACAATAGGACTCTATCAATTCAACTATTTTTTTTACCATAATTCGAGTTTAAACGTCTCAGACATCTCAGTGGATACGCCTGCGATGCCGCCTGTTTGATCAGGTTTCCTTCAAGCTTATCGATGTTCGTCACTTGATTTCACCATCTATTTGTCTCTGTTCACATTTACCTCATTAACACACACACACACACAATGGCATGTGGTGTCTAGGAGGCCAACAATCACTTTTGTGCATCTAGTAATGCCATCTTTTGCGCAGTTTCTTTGTTATCAAAGAGTTGTTTTGTGGTGCGGCTTGGTCATGGCTTCTCATCTTGTATTGCAATATCTACAAGCACTTAGTCTTGCCTTTTTATTTAATAGCTTGATTATTTCATATTCAATTTGATGTTTTAATCTCAATGTACCCTCTTAAAGTGTCCATTAAAATTCCTGCATCGTGCTCGAGTTACGTTATTTTCAGTTACCTTGGTCTTGTTTGAAATTGACTAAAACCACCACGTTTCATCACGAACACTGGCTTTCCTTTCCCAGTGGCTGTGCACATCCCGCTCGCACACACAATAATTCATCCATAAAACAATAAACTTAGTCTGGCTACAGAACACACGGACGTGCTTCCCTCCGCCAAAATAATATCCAAAAATTGTATGATGAACAGTTACCGCCTACAGATAATGAATATTTGCTGTATATTTCACTTGGGAGATAGCGTTTGCGATGACAGTAAGTGTATAATAATTAAAACTAATCACCTCGCCCAATCGTATGGCGAAATAATAAAAACCGAAAGCCGTTCCCATTGGTTATATTTTTGCGTATTTCTATGCGCCTGCATCAGCACTCTGAGAAAGTCTGACTTTCGGGTAAAAATTCTTCCGTCGTAAGAGCCCCACGACAACACACAGCGAGTAAACACTACCACATCGTTAGTTAGTGAAACCTACTTGGGCACCCCGACAAACACCAAGTCCGATTGTGCAAAAGGTAAGTTTAGTCGGCGTCAGGGTTATTGTTTTTTATTTGACAAACAACTTTAAGGACTTTGTTCAACAAACAGCAACTTTGACAGTAATCGGCAGTGCTGGACTTCAAACGTAACCAATATGTGCTGCTACAGTCATTTCAGTTGACTAACACCAATTGAAAATTCATTCGCTCCTTCATTAATACGCGATTAGAGAGGTATAAGTAGTACTCCATCAAGTGTAGCCCATACTCTGTCAAGTGGGCAAATAGTATCCACCGGTAGGTCGGCAGCTGTCGACAAACAGTTATAACTGACTTGGCAAAGAGGCCACTGGGGCTGTCTGGATGTCGGGAATTCGCTATTTTTAACAGGGTACCACTCGTGTTCAAGTTAATTTGCAAGCGAAAGCATTTATGCATAGCCATCATCTTTACCCCAGCGCATGTGTCACAAATCTTCCGTAGTTAAGAGTAAAATATGTTTAACTTAAATCCGAGAACCCCAGCAAATTTCGCTAGTTGGTAAATGCTTTAATATGTAATCTGGGTTAAGAGCAAAAGCCACTGCTTTAACGCAACGGTTGCCTTTCGGCTATAGACTAAAAACAGGTTTATCCTGGCGATTACTCTGAAACAGATGACACTATTGTATTGTAGTTAGATAAAGAAAACCCTACTAATAGTCAGATAGGTAGGTTTCTATAAATATGGTGCAAAGCAATTTGCAATGATTGAAATGGGTGACTGCGTGTTGTTGTGGGATTCGTTCAAATGTAGAAAAATCCGCTCTGTTCCATGTTTGACTTCCTTTGAAAATAAAGGAATTTTTTCTCAGGCTATTCGTTTAATGGAAAGATCCCTTTTCTGTGTAAAATTCCACGGTCTTTAAAAAGCTGTTAATTTTATCATTAAGTTGTCTGCTTAAAAAACACGACACTTGCATCACAAATGTTATATGCCTAGGAAGTAATCATTTGAAATTGGAATTTGAGCAAAGACCTACTGGTGATCCCTCATAAAACCCTTTGACTTCGATTATTATCCATCTTCGTTAATGGCCGGTCTGCTCAATATCTGAACGTGTTTCATTTTACTTTGTGTGAGTTCACATTTGGATTGCTTCCCAGACTCCGTAACATATTGGGATCATTTTGCATGTTTTGTCATGGGCAATAAAAATATCGATAGTCCTAGGGCATCAATTGCCAACTTGATAAAATTATGAGCCCATTTTATTTGAAAATGTTCATCAGGGGGACCTCGATATTTCGAATGTTCCCACGAGTTTGGTTGGTAATTTGTGTGTGAACAAATTAGATTAGAGTTTCAGCATAACTCTTTGGATTATTCAGCTTTTCAACTAGTCAGTGACGCTACATGGACTTTTATTCCTATTGCGAAGTTTTTTCGAATTTACTATTTGAAACGCTGGACTCGAGGAAATTTGAGCAACAATAACAAAGGTACTGGGAGCATTTAATTACGCCACTTTCTTGGTAGAGTCACCCACGGCGTCCCACTGACAGCCCCATCTGTGTTAACGCGCCTTGATCCATCAGGTTAAGGTCATTCTTAACTCATATAAGTGGGCACATTCAGACAGATCGCTCGGCCTTTGGCTAGGACATGAAAAGCCCTCTGCAGGCTGTCTTGCCCCGCCTTACATTGGCGTGGGAAAGTGGGATCTAGGGCTCAAGGGTACCGGTTATCTGAGTGTGTGGTTCTTGGCTACGGGCAAAACGTAGCAGAAGTCATGGCCAATTATACAATAAACTGCCTGAACGCTAAATTGTAACTCGCAAAACGATTCGGAGAGTGTGGGGCCGTATAATCAGCACTCATTTTAAAACTTTTTAATCAAGCTTTGGTGAAGTAAAATGAACTTGGTAAAAGGTTATTTAAATACGTGCATTAGCACACTCACCGATTTTGCATCTCAACTTGGAGCAGTTGCACAGAGATGAGACGCTTTCATTCTGTGCTCAATATCTAAACCAGATTTTTTTCTAAGCAATGGAATTCAGCCTTGGCTTTGTTTAAAAAGAGCTATTAACGCTTATAATATATGCAATTGACAATTACTTCTAACGTCAACAATGTCTTAAAATATCAACACTGATGCGATTTTGGGGATAAATTTATTTCATTTTGTCAAAAAATCTGCCCCCTTAAATAAATTAGAGACTCGTTCCCTGTTAATCGCAGTTATTAAGAGACAGAATCAGTGACAAATGAGGTTAATCTCGCAGTAACTAAAATTTTTGAATTTGTAGCTAGTTAAAAAGGATCGAAATTAGTTTCATGGGACTTAAGTGTTTACCACCGACACCTCTAGAGGGTGGATAGGCTTCCGCTAAATTTTCCTGCCTCAGCTTGAACGAGAAGGCTGAATTACCGTACCGGTCACTGCCACGACCAAGTCATTCAAGGTCATTCCTTGGACTTCAATCGATACGGTAAAATTGCAAGGGCACGTGAAGCTCAAACGCGTGTTGTTCACTTGTGCATTCGGGATTTTTACTCAAAACCATGTCAAATTTTTTCGAAGACGAGGAAGAGCCCCCGTTTCTGATCGCTCAACCACCGGATGAAGAGACCAATGGAAGAAAAGACGCCCACATGGACGTGGCAAACGGCATTGCATTCCAGACACTCGACGAACTCTGTTACGAAGGCAAATTAACGAGCACAGAAATGGCCATGTACAAATCCCGGTACATCAAGCTGCATGATGCATTGAAAAGGTAATATGCGTAGCTATTGGCAGCATGGAATTCTGCACACCACCATAATGTTTACATCTAAGGTTACGTTGTTTGCATGAGTAAACAGAGGCATCTTCCTCAGGCACTGCGACCACACAAATTTCAATGCGATTCAAATGGATCAGACTGAAAAATTTGAGGCTCTCTGAATTAAACGGTTAGCATCGGGTCTAAATTTGCATTTGTCTTATGTCAGGCAATGGCTTTCTTTTACTGAAGGGATAATATGCGGGATTACTTCATTCAGCAACAAATATCTTGGTTGTTTTTTGAGATAAAGGAAAAATTCGTCCAGGAAGCGGAATTGACTTTAGCACAGAAATGATCGTTTCAGAGAAACAACACATTTAGGATTTCCTAGACATAACTTAGTGACTACGGTTAGTAAGTTCCACATTCTGGATAGAGACAGCATTGTGTGGTATCAAAATTCAATCTCAGATGTCTTCAAAGACGCTTCCCTTGTTGGTGGTCTGGCTTTGGCAGACTTAACCAAGTGCAATTAACCTGCATTTCTGTCATTTGCACACCAGCGATTAAAATAAATACTTAACAGGTTTCAACTATTAAGTATTGCTGGGCAACCAAAAATTTTATTATTACAGAAATTCCAACACATCTAGTGAAAAACTATGTCAACAACTAGTAAACTTTCTTAATGGGAAGTGCATTAAAAGCTGGATTATTCAACGAAATCGCGTTAGTTATGAGAAGACGGATAAAAACTCACCTTTTATAGTTGTTTTGGTAATTTTGAAATGTGAGCCCTACCAACCAAACCTCACGGACAGTACCTTATGGACAACTTTTTAATGCCAACTGAGAGAGATTAAAAACGCAATTGTATGTTTTAAGTCCGTTGCATTTCATTAGTGTCATCCCCTCATAATTTATTTATGTCCGATTCTTTGGATATGATTTTAAAAAGAGATTAAAAATCAGAGTGTCGATGCAAAAACCGAAAAGTTAGATCACCATCGTTTCGCTTTACATGGATTTGGTGCTTAACTATTCACATTCTAACTGGAAACCAGGCGTGGCGTAAGGGGAGTAAATTAAACTAACCTATTTTGTGGGAATTAAATTTCAAATTAGCCAAAGGTGTTGAAATGTCACCTCACAGCGATCGGTAGCTTCATAAAACAGTGGGTCGTTTGCCAAAAAAATATACTGAACTCTAAACCTCCACCTAGGTCTTGCTACTACCTGTTCCTTAGCGATCTGGCAAAGCAGCATTTTGTAGTTTGATCGTCTTACCGGTAGTAAGTGGCAGCCGAGTCTCTAACCAAGTTCTTGGGGTTTTACAGATGATTCCCTTTCATCAAAAATAACTTTGTTTGACTGCATCAAAATACCTTTGGCGCACCATGCGGGTACAGGTTTGTGCAGTGAATTCATTAACATCTGAGTTAGGCTATGGCCTATGCACGCACTGCAGCCGCAGGCAGAACTAAAGGATACCGCCAACCTTCAGCTAAGGGTAGAATGCTGCGTACCTGTTCCTATAATTATTGTGCATGCATTCATCGCAAACATTGAATCCTGAACTACGTGCAGCTTTATTCAGCACCCAAATGGCTGCATCAGCAGTGGTTAATTATCACTACTAGCTTTTGCAAGCGTTAGTTTTTGAAATGACTTTGGTTAACACCGATTTTCACTAATAGTCACCTTGATCATTCGAAAAATGAACCCCCGTGATTCTATCTGAACGCAATACAGCAGCTAGGAGGACGTCATTTACGCTGCTGTTGAGAGTACGTTAGAGCACTTTGCTTGCTATCACTGGTCACGCGAGATGAGGTTACGCATATTGTACTGTGACGTTTGTGAGAAAGGCAATTTTTTTCATTTTAAAAAAAGACGTTTAATTTTAATGCATTTAGAGTTGCGCATACGGCTCATAGATGTCCGGCTTAATTTTTGGTGAGCAAATGTGGTGACTTCCGCGGCAATTTGAGTCCCTTAGTGAATCTGGCAGTTTTGGGCATATTTACCATCATTTTTTGAAACAGACGAATCAATCAAAGCCATTTTACTTCAACTTGTAGATCACGTGACAGTGAGTACAAGCTGCACAAATTGATGAAGTACTGCCTGTCTGAAGTGGAACGCCAGGAAGCGGAGCTAGCGAAAGCGGATCAGTTTCCCGAAAATGCCATTTCTGAGCCACTGATGATGCGGGCACAGATCATCAGCACTTACAACAACGCCATGCAGACAGAGGAGAGGGTGGAAACCCTCCTCTATGAAGAAGGTCTCCTCCGAGAAGAGAGGAAACTGCTCAAACGCGACTATTCGCGTTTGCCCATGTCCGAGGTCCGTACCTTACTTGTTTTGGCCCTCATAATAACCAACTTGACAAATAGTTAGTTTCGCGATAAAGAAAGCTGACAGAAAATAACTGTCATGCCTCCCTATAAAATATTATACCGTAAAAACTACTCAAAGCTATTATCAATAACTTTCATTGTCCCCAATTTCGAACGTGATGATGACAAACTAAAAGATCAGTAAAATTTCCAGAGTTTCTTGGAGGAAATATGCCCTAAAGGGGCCTTAATTCTTTAACGATACGTATAGTCCAAGGCTGTGTTACCACCCTGAAGTGTCGACTTACTCAAACATTCAACTCACACAAAAACTCGTATGTTTGCACGGTTGCGTGTGTGGGAATTTCGACCTTGGTAGTCACCAACGTAGTTTTCACGATCAATCGTGCGGGAATGCGTTTAGAAGGGCTGTTTTTTTGGATCTTTGTTTGATACCCAAAAAATACTGCGTTTTTAATTTGAAAATGTATGATTTCCTTTACGCAGATTTTCGGTCATTTTTTAGTTGGAAGCCCTGGGAGAAGATGTGGACATTTTTGCTGTGAGTTAGATTTTCTTAGATTCTGATATGAATGAATTATTTTTGAGTTGCTGGACACTGTTAATATGATCTAGAACTAGATTACCAGATAACTGATGTTGACTTCGTAATGGTGGATCAGACTAAGTCAGCCATTTTGTCTGCTCATAGCATTAAGCAGAAGTCAATACACTCAAAGCGATGCGAAATCCACAAGGGGTTATGATTATTGCCGTTTATTTTCAGTGAGAACTAGCCAGCGCAACTGTTGTTCACTGAAACCGCTTACCTAGGCATTAGCTGACGTGCAGTTGTGATCAAATTACTTATTAAATGACAGTTAATTTACGTGTGCGTTGAAAAAAAAAAGCGGTAAGAAAGCAACCCATCGAAGTTTCACCTTATAATTGCCAGGAAATGGAGAGACGCTTCAAAGCACTGCAAGCGCAGTACCAGGAAACCTTTATGGAGATCGATATGATGAAATTGGAAGCAAAGAGAAGTCGTGAACAGCTTCGTGCCTCCAAGGAGACTCTGGACGATGTGCATATGGAGTATTCCGATGCACAGCTGCGGCTGAACCGTATCAAGGTATCGATTAGCGAATTCCATTACTCATACTCACTACAAATTCACTTATTTACCCAAAACGTCTCACCCACATATTTTCGCCCGAAGAATGGAATGTCCAAAGTGGAAACAGACGTATGCACACACCAACACTGAGACAGTAGAGGATGTTTTTGTAATCAACCACGTAGTGCGCAAAAATTAGCGCTTAGACGCGTCTTAGCCTCAGAGTTTTGAAAGACCTCGATGTGGGAGTCATATCCAAAAGCACAGAATGTAAGTTTAATCTATCACTAAATGGTATGTCTCCTTAGTCTTGGTCCCAGTCAGATTCGACAGCTGCCGGGTTAAGTTACTGAAATGTTCCACGGCCGAACAATGTCGTTTATTTAGAATCCAAACTATAATTGAGCTAATTGCTTTAAACCTCATGGGACCACATATGGATGTCTTGTCCACTGCAGTCAGCTGTCATGTTTATATTTTCTATAATTATTTTGCTAACTGTCCACTGATTTTCCCACTGGCTTACCCAAAAGAGTTCCAAGAACGTACAGGCGGTAAAGCAAGGTTAAAAGCACACACTTGTGGCTGGTGACTTGGAATGCAAAATGTCTTAACATATGTGCAGTCAATACATGGAATCTTTTTTTTCGATAAAGTCCTATACGCAGCACGCTTCCCGTGGACAAGTTTTAACAGATACATTTCAAAAAAAGAAGGCTAAGTTAGCTCATCTTTTTCTTCCAGACAGCTGAAACATTCCCGTTGTTTTGTAGCCAGCAAAAATACTGATCACCTCACTTTTCAAAATCTATGCCAGTTGCAAAACACAACTTCAAAAACTTAGTTGTTGTGAGGTAACTAGACGGCGTTGCTTTTGTGCTCGAGTAATCCTTATTTACAAAAAATGTTTGCTCTACTGCCTTTAGAATGCAACACCACTTTAACTGCTGTTTTGAAAATAAAATAAAAAAAACCGAGATCTTCGACTACTGAAAGGTGCTTAACCTGTACAAATTTTGCGATGCTTGATAGTGACGCTTACTTTTGTGTGTTCGATAAGACGAGAAGCTACAGAGAATATAATTTTTACGAAGCTGATCGTTCAAAACCTAAGCGGAAATCTACCATTACCAACACCTCTGTATCTTCGCCACAAACATTTTGCCAAATGAGCTATAATGCAAAATTATTTTATTCTAGAAAAGCCCAAGCGGGCCAATGATTTATAGATCATTCTGTTTGAATTTATCTGCTGAGATACCTGAAATGTTTGTTTATTTATAATGAGGCATTTAAGACCGATTAATTCCAAGGGTTTGGATTACGACACACAGAACTATGCGTTAAACGTGCAGAAACTGTTGTACAGAACCCCGTCTCTGTTACTGTTTTTGCCAGTTTTAATAAACTGACTTGCGTAAGCACTAAAAATTGCCTTCATCCAGAATAGCTGGTGAAGAGCGAATCCACTAGTCAAAAAAGTGCTCTTTCGTAATGTGGAAATCGTAAATTGCGTGCATCAATCTTCGAAAGTGCGGACTAGGACTCATTGAATTCACTTTGTTACCTTGAGCTTTTTTAAATTAGTTAATTTTATTATAATTGACTCTACGTGACTGGTAAAGTCTGTAGTTTTTTGAGGTGTTTTCTCGTAAATTTGTTCTGGATTGCGTGCATTTTAAGGTCATCTGGCCAGACACTGATGACAAATTAGAGGTCCTTGCGGATGAAAGAACGCGACTTACGGAATAAAGATAAGAATCATGTCTGATCCGCGAAGTGAGAAAGTTCCATTACCGCCAGCCGATGCTTGCTTTAATGAAGCATACACTTTAGCACCTGCCTAATGCGTCTCCCCGTCATGCTAACTGTACTCTGTGCTGTTCTAAATCTGAGTCCAATGATTTTTCCAGACTTCGTCATCGTCAGACTAGTTTCCGTAATTTTCAACCGCCCTGAGGTCAACGTTTGCGGTTTAGAGTAGCGAATTTTTACATTAGGTAAAGATGTTGGAGTCCGCGAGGTCAATTCAAAGAATCGGCTGCAGATTTCTGTAATGCCGCCACAGATGTTTGCCTGACAGTTGCGTTGGACAAAATCACAACAGAAATAGGTATCTTTGGATGTTAAGAAATACAAGAAAAATTCCAGACCTCCATTAAAGGGGATTTTTAATTTTGATATTATGTAGACATCTTTAGATAAATCCCAAGATTTTTTTACCTTACCTTTATAATAAAATCTACATTTACCATGTTAGCATATTGTTCCTGCTAACAGTGCTCATTTCTTTATTAAAATCATAACCAGGAAAATTAAAAGGAGTTTCAGGATTTTTCCAAAATGTATTATTGGGACAATTGTGTCCCATCTAATCAAATCAGGCCATTGAATCGAAATTAAAGGTAGTTTTGCGTCGGCTTATGCTAAATGATTTTGCTTTTAGGGAAAATGCCCATAATAGTCGTGTAACCTTTCCTAAAGTACAGCATTAATAGTGCAATTTCCCGTTCTGCGAATAATTAGTAAATTTGTCGGGATGCATTCATAAAGCAGCCTTTGTACTAGCGCAATGCCCATTCAAACGAATGGATCCGCAAATTGTGTCCTTCAAGTGGCCTCTTGAAACGTGAATACTATGGAAAAGTTATTTCCCCTTTTTTGTTTAGAGTAATAGACGACGAAATTCGGTGTCATTCACTAAAGGCAGAATTCAGCGGCGTATATGTTCACTCTTTTTAGACTCGCTACAGTTAGGATCTCTCTAAGAAAGAAGGAAAGACTGGTTTTCCCGATTTTAATGTTGGGAAACAATAATCAAAAATCACTTTTAAGGGAGACCTGCATAAGCCTAGCTTCTGCCTCATCGACTTCCATAAACTTAGTCCACGTACTTTGTCAATCACCTGTTTACCGTGAATTTCTTCACATTAGCTACACTAAAGCGGTATCAAGTTCCCTTCACGTTAAATCTCACTTCTTTTGGTTCCCCATGTCCTTTACACCCAAACAATCACCAAGCAATTTTGAATAGCATTTCAAAGAATTATCCAGGTAATAATTTTTATCTCCTTAATAGGCTGACTGGGTTTTGGCGTCCGCGCTTCCAGGTCAATACATTAAGGAAACCGAGAAGGCAAGGAAGTACAAATCGTAAGTTCATCTGCAATTTTTTGCGTCTTGAAATTTCAACGCCTCTGATTTCAAACCTAATTCCAAACTAGGATGCAACTATACCGTACATTAAAAAACCCCGTTTTCTGCCTTTTGGACGTTCAATTATTTGGTTCTACTTTTGCTATTGAAAGTTGGCAGTTCCGGTGATTTCAGTATAGTTGAACTGAATAAAAAGCCACGGTTACTAGAGGATCTTGGGTAGCCAGTTACTAAGTTGAAAATGCCACAGCAAAATAACACTGAAAACAATGCTTCAAACGGTGTTATTTATACTGCCAAGCCTCTAATAACGTGCCACGTGGCAACAAGTTGCTTTCAATTTTGGTTTCATTATCGCCTCTGGTCTTCTAGTTGTTGAGCATTGACACTGACACTTGAACTAGTTTACCAAACTAACATACCCTTGAAAGATCTTACAACTTCAATTCAAATGACAACAGAAAGGCAAGTGAGTATGACTTAGTCACACAACACCGGTAATAAACAAGTAACTTCACTGCGCGTTTCGCTTTTGCGTGAAAGCCTTCAATTTCAATTACATGTTTACCTGCAATACGTTTACTACTAATACTGCTACTACTACCTTGATTCACCGCGCCTAACGCGTCATTTATGGCTGGAGATAAAAGTAAAATAATTTCCCCCGGGAAAGATGGTGTACTCAAACCCCCAGCCCTCGTCCAATGTCGTTTTAGTGACTACGAGAAAAAAGTTAAAAGCTTGGAGGCGCAGTATTCTACCCTCGTGGCTCAGAAAGATAAACTTGAGGACGAGCTTCAGACGGCCATAACGAATAATGAGAATTGCAAGAAGTAAGTCGCTGTCTTGTGTAAGGTTTATGGGTTGGTGATTCGAACCTGAGTAGTATGTAATTTTTTATTTTAAAAATGCATAGAACTTTCGAATCTTGTAAGATTAATACGAAAGCAATATACAGGCTCTACCACTGCGTTACGAAGTGCACAGTTTCACTGAGTGTTAAACAGACGAAAAGCGTGTTTGCTGATCCCAACAATCCAGATTTTCTAGTCTGCAACTTTGCATCATTAATCTTGAGGCACTACCTCCCTCAAACTGTGCACCGACGCTCGTTCACTGCGTCCGCCAAATCGCAGTCCACTCGTCTTTTATTTTTAAATGTGGTCTGTATAACACCATAGTACCAAATATGTACTAATTGCCTCGAATTATACCTAGCCATGCCTTTCGTGTAAAAAAAAATCCGCATAACTGTGAAACGTGACCTTGTGAAATGGAGACTGAAGTGAAATGCGAAAGACTGGTAACAAAAGAAATCGTGTAGCAAACCTGACCGAAAACTAACAAGGACTTCAATGGCTCTATCCATTGGTGTTTATGTTATATGTCTGCAATACATGGTATTTGGTTTGCTGGAGACTATCTGAAAGACGAAAACGAAGATTTTCGGGCTTTCCGTCGGAGGCTGGAATTCGAACTGCCTTTTAACACCACGCACAGTCACAATGAACTTGCATGACCACGAAGACAAAAAACATGGCCTTGAATGGAAAATAATCTGGGCACACGAATGCTGGACGCAAAACTTGTGTTAAATTTCTGCTACCCAGTCAAAAGTTACCCATGAAGTCAAAGGTGGCATTAGCTGGTAATCTAGTTGCTAATTCATCACAGATTTAACAATTTCTTGTTAATGGCTTTCAACTAAAATTTCTTGACTTCAGAAGACCACAAAGTGCACCATTTAGGTGTTGTCTGTTCTAACTTATAGCCAAGTAAAATCGTAGATTTGTAGCCTAATTCGTCAATTTTTTGGGCTAACATCCGTGAGTAACGTTTGGAGACGGATTAAGTTCGTGCTATTTTCATTTCTACACCAGAGCTCATGTCTAGCCTCAAATATACTTCCCAAGATGAGCTTCTCACTTTATTGTATGAAGCGTGTCTTTAAATTAAGTTTTAAAAGTGTTTGTAGTGAGTCGTAGGTCATTTAAGCCCCTTTCACCCAAGTCATTTGCCTCTAGGCTCAGTTGTGTCATAATTTTCAAATGCCAATTAATTCAGAGCGACTGATTTTTGAACTTAACGTTGCCGTCACTACATCTTCAGCCTCAAACTAATCGGTTCTTTGCAGTGGAATCAGTTAAGCTCTCATTACCAGTTGCAATCAGTAAATTTCTCCAAAGTGATGCGAAGACATTTTTGCTAGAAAAGTTATTCCCACCCAGCATTTAGTTGGTGCTGTCTAGTTGAGAGCCAAAATACCGCTACTATTCACAGATGGTGTTTTGTGCAATTTTCAGACGCCGAAAGCATGGCGCTTTGGTTCAGTCTCGCATTCTTTCGCCCTGCTTAAAAAGGCATCTTCCAGATGCCCCGAGTGAGATGGGTCACTGACATTTTGTTTATCTTACGCGAACTTTACTTGCCTACAGTTCTAACCGGATTCCGGCAAAATGAAGAAAAGGCCTACTAGGAGTCAGTTCTAAAGTAACTGACTAGAAGTATTGCTGTTATGACATTATTTAGCCCTCTTATTAGGAATCGAAACATAGACCTTTGACAACAGAGAAACCGAACAATTCCGTGCTGTTTAGACGATGTCAATCTATTTAACTGATCAAAAAAAGCCACCCAGGTATCTTGGTCATCCTGCGCGGATTATGCAGCCATGGCGCCACTTAACCTGTATTGATTTTTTGTCCATACTGATGTGTTGTGTTGTTAACAAAAGCCGCAGTGTTTAAGAACGTACAGCTTGTGTTATAGTAGAAAAATCGCTTCGAATAGGTTTGGTCGCATTTTGATAAAATTGCTTCAAAACACTTACGTCGGGTGATCCGTGAGTGCTTGGTGAAAAGTATTTTGTGAAAAACCTTTGCTGTCTTCGTAGTATCATGTGTGTGCGTGTGTAAACGCAGACTTGGCAAGATTGAAACAGTAATGATTTGCATTTTGAAATACAATAGTGAAATCGCGAGAGGAAAACAGAGGGCCGCTTTTAACAAAGAGCAGACAGAAGACCGGATTCAGAGCTTCGGTAATTGGCAAAACTTCGAAATGATCAGCCGAACCGAAAAGTAAGTTAAAATCAGCGCCACATGGGACTTACATTAAAAAAAAAACACTTCTGAAGCAAACTCACGCGCAAAGAAGGCAACCATGTCAGTTAGTTACCTTGGACTCGCACATTCAAAAGCCTTCCAATAGTCAGATTGTGTAAATTAGTAGTCGTTAATGATGCCTCTAAATTTGCTTCCGTGCAGTTTCCTGCATTTGTGACGGTGGTTGAGGTAATTTCTTCTCATCGACTTAGAAGTGCGAGGTAAAATTACCTTTCTCAAAGCCACTCCCATTTCTCTGGGGTACAAAAAGCCTCGCTAATCACGAATGATCTGCGCAAACCTATGGTCCCAGTGAATCGGAAGCAGATTCTGGCGACAGTCAGGCATTCCACGGCTGAAAATTCACCACCCAGTACATTTGCTAGATCCCAGAGGCTATTAACTAAACCTACTGCTTGAGATTAAACGATTTTATGCTTGATTTAAGCCGTGGTGCCTTTTTTGACAAGTTGCATCAGCAGTGACATTTGTAATTAACTTAATCAGCGACGCCATTGTGCACAATTGTTAGTAAGCACACGGATCTCTGATTCAGCTAGAGCATCTGGATAAACAAAATATTTCATATAATTTTTTTCTACACACGTTTCTTTGAGTGCTGATTGCCTTCTTTAAACACAATTTCCAATGTTTGATTCTAATTCTCAGTTTAGAGCAGAAAAGGTAGCTGCTGTATCAAACCGTTTCTATTTAGCGGATTGTTTTAAAATTTTACAGAGAATTTAAAAATCATGAGTAAGGATATATGTTATAGGTTGCATACTTTATTTTAGGGCCAAATTGTTGCAGCGATTAGAAAGCTGTTCATCCGAAAAGAAGGAATTTCTTCAAGAGCAGACGAAGCTCAAATGGGAGAAGGACAACGCCATGAAGCAGCTAAAGAAGTGTCAGATGCAGATGGAGATTCTTACAGAGGCCGTAAAGGTGAATTTGAGTCGGTTTTCTGTCGAGTAGCTGATTCTAAAAATAATGACGCATGCTTCATGTGCCACCTTTAGTAGTCTGGTGTAGTCTGACAGACCGTTCTCCGTCGTGGATGGAACATTAAGATCAAGTTATATCAATTTAACGAAACTGACCAAGAAGTAATGAGCACAAGCCTTGTTGTGGGCCATATTATGTGGTCTTGAACCACACCGGGGCCACTGAATTAACTCTGCCCTGATACCCGCGATGAAGAAAAAGATAGGAGAGGACGTGGACACAACCGTTTACTCCAGAGCTCAACCACGTTGGTGACGTTGTGTCGTGCGTGGGGTTTGAGCGTGTGTATTTATACCTCGGATGTGCGAGTCACAGGTGTGCTAACATCGACATCTAGGTGTGAGGATAATCCAAGATAAATATCCGTGTGAATGAGAGGGGAGTTGAGGATCTGCAAGGCTGGTGACATGTTGTGAAACGGGGGATTCTGTGTCGGAGGTGGAGCGACCGGATCAATGGGTGTGAATCAACGCGATTCACAACAGCCCCAATCTAGGTGTCACAGAGTTCTTTCACCGGCAAAAGCATTTCACTAACGAACGGGGATGCTGATAGTTTACTCAGGGTGACCTTCAAAGTCGCTACAACTGATTTTGTTTCAGATCATCCAGGGAACATTTTAAGTGCAGTCCCTGTAAAAGCCCGTGTAAATCATCGCTAAAACCACGTCAATATTACCAATTTCATTTAAAAAAAATATGCTTTGTACTATTGCATTCCAATGTATTCATTGGTCTAGCCAAAGTCATTTTTCTTAATATTGAATAAGATGAAGCCTTGACATTAATATTTGCATTTATTTAACTCAGTTAATGCCATTTTCATGCTCTAGAATGCCAGCGCAGCCTATGAAAAAGTCAGAGCGAGGTTTGCCGTAACTCCCAAATACGACAACACACTTATGAAGCGGAAAGAAAAATTGAACAATTTAGTTCGAATCTTGCACTCGGAGATTGTAGAAGAGGTAAGCACTAGCAATTTTTGAATCATAAATCGTGGGGAAAAATTACTTACAAAGACACATTTTAATAAACAAGTTTGCCACAGCTGAAAAATTTTTACGAGACTCATCATTGCGAGTACTTTTAAGTCTGGTCTTAATTGCAAAAATTTTATTTCGCACAGCAAGATTAGACGAGCTTGATAAATAAGTCAGTTCCGAAATGGCACTAAAATTATTTAAAATAATAACTAACGTAACAAAGCAAAGACCATCCATATGTGAAGACCGGTGTCCACAAAAATTGGATTATTTAAAGTATGTTCATTTGAATTACAGAATCCCTTCTTAAACAGTTGTTTTATATTGGTCAACCACACAAAACGACCTTTGGTTTTGAGCACTAAGGTTCATTTTTCAAGGCTAGTGCCAGAAAAGAATAAACGTGTGTTTAATTTTCATAATTCGAAGCTCACTAAATTTGGTGGAATCATTCGAACAACCACCGTGTACTTTCATTGGCTGATAGTTCACGACCTACAACATGTTTTGCTTTAAACCCTCTACAAACGCATAAACGGAGTTGCATAAATGTGAATATAGTTTTATAATTATATAATCTTTGCCACATTTACTTGATATTAATGCTGGCCTCATTCGCATTTTCCTATAATATTTCATGGACGGTAACTACTAGAGTGATGAGTGTTTAAGAAAGCTGATACAAGCCAAGGAATGTGTGGCCTTCGTTCTATTGATCGGCACACTTGGCAAATTCCTCTACTTGTCGATTGCTTGCACTTATTGGGATAATAGTCGTTTGATGGGTCATTGTCCAGCACAGGTTGGGTGCCAATCGCGCAGCGTACTTAAACCATTTCCACACCTAAGCAAGCAGAATTCAACGAATTATGTCACATTAATGTGCACTTTAGGAAAATACTGAAATATCTAACGTTTACTCAATTTAATTGAGACCAGGTGTTCCTTGTTTTAATATAATGCACCAGATACAAATGTCAAACAATGAAAGAAAACGGCATGTCCCTGGAGACGATTTTGCGACATCATGGCTATCCCGTAAATTTATTTCTGTCGATTTTATCTTCCTGTCACTCATCACCGAATTCTTGTGTAAGGTCATCATGAAGAAATCTTAACTTTATCCAATTATTCGTCAATTGTTTATGATTCGAATCACTGATAGGTGTTTAATCTACTTTCGTAAACCTCAATATGAGTAAGTGGTGGCGAATTTCGTAGGTAGGGAATGGTATTTCTGCGGTTACAGGTTGAATCTTTAGTTGCATTCAGTGCGTTGCTTTAGCTAACATTCATGCGTCCAAATTCACCTCAAATAGAATGCACAGTCAGATTTTGTGATTGATGGTCAGATTCTGGTAGACCATTGTTGTGGTCTTAATTGACCTCTTTCAGTGTCGTGAAATTATAGTGGATGGTTTCGCATGAGACGCCAGATCTCCATTTGCGATGAGTCACTTTTATCGTGGCAAAGCTAACGTCGTCTTCGTTATGAACAAACAGAATTCTTTTCTTTTTCGATTTCGCATTATCAGGCACTGTGTTATTTTTGAAAGACACGTGCTACTCCTTGGTAAGGACTATTATCCATGTTTAAGGCACTTCTTTTACCTAAAAAGTCAAAAATCTGTGACTCACAATACCTGCGGAAATCTTTCGGCAACCTACTATCTGTGCCAAGTACAACACCAGACGTCGCGCCAAACATTTGCATTTAATTACTTAAACACATGAAATTTGCTTATCCACTGTCCGGCTTAGCCATTTGATATGTGCGTGAACAATCCTTGTTTCCGTGGTCTCAATTATTGCCGACCCTCTTCCAGTTAGAAAATTGCCGTTGTGGGCAGTGTCGACACTCAGCACCCCACATTAGCAATTTTCTTTGCCGCTGGCCCGACAAAGATAATGAGTTGAAGCAAATTCCACCATCCATTTCAACGCATGTCAAGACCTCTAAAAAGTGGTGTTCGCTTTGCTACACCTCGAAACAAAGGCTATTCGAAAAGTTCTAAATGGCTTAATAACATCTTGAATTCCTTTGTGGCTAAAACCGTGCAAAAAAGGTTTGTCTTCGCACTCGCATGAATCAGTCATCATAGTTAGAGCAGAAAGCAGGGAAGTACAGAGACTATAGCACTGGTGACTGAGGAGGTTTGTAGTTGTACTCGGTGATTGAGACGTTGTTGTGGCTGATTCGCACATAAACGTAATCTCATTCGCAATGTTTACTAATGTGGATAAATTGTGACATGATTTAGCACACGTATACCGTGCCCACTCATTTCTACACGAAGCTATCAAATTAATAACTAATTTACCTACCCATTGTTTGCTGACGGAACTCCACACTTCAACTTACTTTGTAGTCCTGAAGTGTAAATTACAGATGACGTTTGTGTAGTGCCCACTGTGGCGTGTATTAATCTGCTTTCCTGTGTCAATACTCCAGTGAGTGAGATAGGTGTTTTTTACGGTGTTTGTCTTCCAGTTAAAACTACTTTTAACATGTCATTTAGGTTCATGATCCCCTGCAATATCAACAGCCCAGTATCAGTTACCTTAGAGATCACCGCAGAATAAATGTTGCCGTTGGCAGCAAGTCGTTTATTTTACCCATGTAAAAGTCACCTGCCACAAAAAGTGGCATCTTGTCTAACTTCCACCTAGAACAGTTACTGGAAAAGATTAGCGTAAAACAACGCGTTGTGCATAATTTAGCCTGGTGAATTGTCAAGCTGGTACAAATTATCGAGCTGTCAAGGCATTCAGAAAACCACACATGTCGACAGAAGATCAAGCTGCAGGAAGGGGGCTTGCGTGAAAAACGGCAGGAGGGATGATCGTGTGTTGTATTGTGTGGCCTTTTTTACTGCAAAGTCGAAAATGAAAATAGATTGGTTTTCGCCAAACATCCTGGTTCTTGATCAAAAACCATCGACTGGATTAATTGCAGAAACTACACCACATCAAAGTAAATATATATTTTCTTAAACATGAAGGCATGTTGATGTTAGTCGAGAAATATCGTACTTGTTCGATTCTGTGGCATCATCCTTACAAAAACCACAATGTCTCCATAACGAAGGCGTGAACACGTGCAGCTGAAATTTAGTTCAACAGATCTCAATAAACCTGTGCATGTTTATTTTACGAGGTGGGTAATTTTTGGACCCACAAAGGAATGCTTTGACGAAACTCAGTTCACGTTTTTCACACAAATTTATATTCACTGTTGTCTGACTGGGTTAAAATCGCTAGTACCTATCTCGTGGCTTTAATCGTCAAGCTAAACTGGTTTTCCGAAGTCAGAGCAAGAAGGAGGAAAGAGAACGATACCTGGATACTCTTTTACCTGGGCGGTGTGCAATCGTAGTAGGAGCAACTATACGTGACCGCCAAGTTGGTGTTTTTTTACGTCCTACATTGCAGCGACCTCCACGTATAATTGCAGCCACATTGCGCAAGAATGCTTGAGGTGACATTGCACCCGCAAAACGTCAAATCAGGTCTTTGTCTCCTGTGCATTAGAGGGGCTGAATTTTAATGAGGTCAATGCAATTAACCTTACGGGATAATTAACTTTGGTGGTTGGTTGTTTCTGGGCTTGTCCCAGCTCTCTCTAGGGAGTAATCCACCTTTATTTTAGTATGTCTCCATGTTTACGAGATTTACGAGATCACCATGTTTACTAGGTTTACGAGATTTACGTCATTTAGACAAACAATGCTAAGTGACCCTATAAAGTTTGTTTATTGAAATTTGCTGGACGCATTTGCTTTGACTTCGTTTGGGACACATTTCCTTTGAAATGAGAGATCATGGATAAGAAACTACAGGTTGGTGAAATTGCCTAACTGAACTATGTGACAAAATCCTAATAAATACTGGTGAAAAATTTCTGAAGAGTTTGTTATTTGTACTGTTATCTTATGCTAAGTTGTTTTTAGATCAAAAATGGCTTTGAGAAGATATATTATACTTTCCCGATATTCGCTCGTGTGTGAAGGTGAAGGTAAGAGGAGTGGGTAATCCATCTATGTGATAAAATTGTCAAAATATTGTAGGAGAAGTTCATGGCGGCGGAGCAGGTGCATGTGAATCAGACTGTACTGCTGTCCGAGCGACGCCTCTCTTTCCTGGAGAGTGTTCGAGCCGAAAACATCGAGCTCCAGCAGCTGGCAACCGCCCTCGCTGATGACATGGCCAAGGCCGTCTGCGAATACAACAACGCCTATCGCAAGTACTCTCGCCTCTCCGAGGACTGTCAATTAAAAATGAAACAGATTAATCGTCAACTAGAGGAAATTAGCATTCTTGAGGTAATAATAGGGAGGGAGTTGTATTGAATCGTGCTGATAACGCACATGTCGAGGGCTCGAGCCCCCCTCTGATCCCTCTAGCTTAGGAGGATAGGGCACCGTACTTATGATGTGGCAGTCGAGATTAATTGTTGAGGGCCCCTCACATGTTGGCTAAAACCACGCCGAAGCCACAGTATTTAATCTAACCCGATTAAGCTACCCTCTTACCCGCGGGGATAAAATAAAGACCGGAGAGGACGAGGCCCAACCGTTTGCTGGATACCTCAACCAAAGTTGCGTATTAAAGGTGGTGCATGACGCATGTGTTTTTGTCGAATGGCACAGTTGAGTGAACTAGAATTGGTCAGACGGGGAAAAGCGGGTAATGGTGGCACATGCGGAGGGGTGAATGAATAACCGGGCCCGCGTGACTGACGCGCACGCCGTGAAAAGGGGACATATGTTTGAGGTTTCAACAGCCGGATAGTGGGCGTGAACAAACACGATTCACCACAGAGAATATAAGTAATAATAAGACTGCAAAGCACTGGCCAACTGGGGAAGTGCTCATGGGGACATCGTAAGTTTGGTTTTTGCTGCTGTTTCCGATTCTGGCAAGCTGAACCTTCTGCTTGCACGTCAAGCTTCCTAAGACTACTTCAAAAAGCTGCAAATTTCTCATATTTAAACAAATATGTTCGTGTGAAGGGGCAGGCGTCTTGAAAAAACACAACCCTATTGATAATATTTCAGGTCTTACACAATTCATTGCCCGCCCAAAATATTTAAGCAATAAGATGATTGACAGTTCTCTTCGGTAGAGAGTCCGAAGAATGCATTGTGACAAGTCAAGCAGTCGCATAAAGTTGTTTGACATTTACAGCCACCAGTGGTTTAAATTACGGTTAACCGCGAATTCTCAATTCCTTTAGACCATGTTTTCAGGCAGCTGCATCAAGGAGGGCTGGCTCCACCTGAAATGCTTGAATATGTTGACACTTTTCAAGTCACTGGAAATGATGGGAAAAAGTACAATAGGTCCGCTGCAAACCAATAGGTTTCAGTGGATATTTTGGCAAGATTTGGTCACACAAAGTGCCGTAAAGTGACCCAAACATGTTGACTAAGGTATCCACTTGAAGTATACTTAGTCAATCTAGTAGGTTTTATCGAATAGCAACTTACATACATCACCGTTTTTCAGTTTTGTTTACAATTAAGACGCACATTTGCATAAGGCTTGTTATCAAATTTTCTTGTGGCCCAGAAATTTGGGTCGTTGCCGATTGTCCCATTCGTTAAAACCACAAGTATTTGAACATAAATCCTACTTTCACCAGGTTCATTTAAACAAACTCATCCAAGACAGGTTAGAATTGACAACTTTTCATCCACAATGTAGGCAAAACTAGCCGAGGTCTCCAAGCTGTACACCGCAGTGAAGTTGGAGCGTAATAAGTGCGTTAGTCTGCTCCAGGCAGCGCTTCAAGTCTCCGCCGACACCCGGGAGCGTCTTCGTCAGAGGAGCAACGAGGGAGAAATCCTTCTTGCCCAGGCGCAGAAGCGCGAAATGAAGCTGATGCGCATGCGAAAGGAAATCACCAACCTGATTGCTCAGCGCGACCACAAGCGCCACGACCTCTGCAAGGTTGCCGCTGTTGTCGCCCTGCAAAATTCCAAGCGCGAGCAAATGCTCCAGACGATAGACCGACTCAACCTCATGTACAACCAGTCCGAGTCAAGCATCATTGCGCTGAAGAAAGCTTGCGAACGCAACGCCAGGCTGAGGAATGAACGCGCGATACTTCTGATTGAACGAAATCAGGAGGTTTACTTGCTTCAGGTAATTATTGAGGGCGCAGCCACCTGCATTTTCAAACCTGTTCGGTGAAGTGTACTGAATTTAGATAATTGTTTCTCAGTTTAAAATGGTTAACATGGTTAAGCGCGGGTTGGTGCTTAACTTCCTCACATGCAGTACTATATCGAGTAACTCTACGTGAAGTGAATTCAAGATAATCGTGTATCCTCGCGATTTGTTTGAATGCCAGCATCCTGATCGCAGCAGACGTTTTGAAAGTACACTTGAACATATTTTAACTGTTCTTTCATTTTATGGACGAGGTCAATTTAATGCAGCACGAAGTTTCGAACGATATTGTGGGTCCATGAATTTGCCACTCAAAACCGTTGAAAGTAAATGGATCATAAATTGTCAATGAGTTGACTTACCTTAATACCAGAAAGTGTCGGTTATTGGCTAAAATATCAGTCTTCAGGGGAGTTCCACCTGTGACACGGATTATGCTACCGACTTATTCTTTATCAAGAGATCCTGAATAATTATTAATGTCTGGGTTTCGCTTGGTGTAAACACACATATCAAGTGTTATTCTTCTCTACCAACATTTTTAGTAATTTAGTGTTGTCTAAATTGGATTCTGTTCCACAGTGGGTGGATGGAAACTATCAACAAGCGGCATCGTGTATCCAAAGAGATTCAACCAAGTGAAGTAAATTTTTAGTATATTTGATCTGAGTTTAAGAATTTCAGCCCACAATCTCAAATTTCATCACACGAGAAAAGCCTCACAGTTGGTGCCTGTCATTGATTACAGGAAAGGAGATTTTGGTTAACTGAGATGTTGGTGATTTCTGCCATGAACCTACATTTTGACAACAAAATGCTGTCCTGAATAGCAGCCTACATCCAGGAGTCCTCTCACTTCTTTTGTTCGTGTATTGAGTCGGTCTCAGATATCAAAAGTTTAAGTAACCATCAAGAGATCACCCTCGTCTGGCAATTGAACCAATTAAAATCTAATCACTATCCACTGAAATGAGCAACATCGATCAATAAGACGCATGTTTTAAAGCGCACAATCATAATTTGTCATACAGCCTATTGAAATTAGTAATGGGCCACTTTAAGTTATGGTGTTGGAATAGGTTTGTTGTGGTCCCCAGCTCGTGGTCTTGAGCCACACTAGGGCCACTGAATTAACTCTGGCCTGATTACGCTGCCCTGATACCCACGATGAAGAAAAAGACCGGAGAGGGCGTGGACACAACCGTTTACTCCAGAGCTAAACCACGTTGGTGTCGTTGTGTTTTGCGTGGCGTTTGCGCGTGTGTATTTATACCTCGAATGTGTAAGTCATACATGCGCTTACATCGAGACCTATGTGTGAGGATAATGTAGGATAATCGTTCGCGCCAATGAGGGGGGGAGTTGAGGATATGCGCGGTTGACGACCTCCTGCGAAAATGGAAACCGTGCGTGAGAGTCTGGAGTGACCGAATTAACAAATGTGAATCAACGCTATTCACAACAGGCTTTTCTGAAGTAGCGCTGTGGAGGCATTTTGAACAGGTTTGTACCAATATGACTAATAACCTGGAGCCCCTTCTTGGCTGACTTAGTCGGTTGAAACATTCACCCAATGCACGCTGCTTATAAAAGTACTTTTTTAAATCAGCTGGATGTACACATTGAAAGTTCATTCCTGTCACGGCGTCCACGTTTGACCTCTCTCGATGGTTCATGTGCCACTAAACCATTCATCGGTTTGTGTAGTCAACTTTAACTTCCTTCTGACCTCATCCCACGTGGAACTCTCCAGCACGCGCACGAATTCAGGGTTGCAACTAGGCGCAAGCTAAAATAGAGCCGTCGATGGAGTGACCCCACCCTGGCCCTGAACATTTACTTGCGGTTGTGGCCATGGCAACCCGTCTGTGTAAATCCTGTGGCCTGTAAGCACCCGAAAATGCCTGCGAGAGCCCTCATGAAAATTTTGAACCTCGCTTTTGTCTAACAAGCTACCTTTTGAAATACCTAATTTTCAATATTGAGGTAGGCGATCAATCGGAGTCTAAACTTCTCTGATAACCGTTGCAGTTAATGCTAGAAACATTGAAAATTCTGTCCATCAAAGCGAATGATACTGTCCATCCATGACTAATAAAGTACGCGATTGTTTTTCTTAAATGACAGAAAAAAACGCGAGCAATCCAGCCATCGACAAAACCAGAGAATAATTGACTAAAAACGCATTGAAACAAGGCCACTTTTCTCAACAATCTCAACAGCACTCTGGACTACGTAGATCTGGTCACTACTTTGAGGGATTGCACGGCGCTGTAGTATTCCAAGCAGTCATTCTTGGCCTTCGGATAATGTGATTGCCCCATTCCAAATTCTCTAACCAGCCGCCTCTCCAAAGCCGCCAGTTCAATTGGTACTTTAAAATTCTAATTGGTCGCGGTTAAGAAATTATGGGTATTGCCCGAGAACTGACAAACGCGAACTCATAGCCTCAGTTCTTCACATCAACTTTAACTTTGGACCACAGATTGGCATTTATCAGCCAGACATTAGTGCCTACTTCCTTTACACTTTGATCCGTACCTTGACATTGGTCAACTGCAATTCTTAAACACCGCTACTGCTTCAGTTCCAGCTGTCCTCGCTTTCCCCAACTAAACACCTTTGGTGGGCTCGAACTCCTCCTGGCAAGGTTTTGAGCGATCAACTTGACTGTCGAGAGGTCCACCGAACCAACTTAATATGTCAAAAGTCTGCCAGGCAATGCCGAGGCCCGAAATCTTTACGATAAATTGAACTCGACCACGAGTAGCCTCTCTACAACCCTGCCGTTCGCCACCATCAGATGCACCTGAGAGCTGTTTGGACGAGCTCATTACTCTGCAGTATTGTGCCCCTTTGACACCCTGAGAACCTGAGAGCATAAAGGCTGGCTAATGGTCGAAATGAGAAGTTGGACACAACCACTTTGTCATTGTGAGTGAGCGTGGGCGTATTTTCAAAGTACTCGTGAAGAGAGACCGATAGAAGTTAAGGGCGTGACAGATCTAATTTGCTTGAGGTAAACCTGTTTGGACAAGCTTCTCCTCATCCACCCACGCTAATAGCCCAACATCGAACGAAGATAACTAAAAGAGGACACGGTGTTTCGGTGTACCTTGTGAATTGTGGGAATTTGCTCCTGTGGGAACCAATCAACCGGTATGAGGCGGGAATAAAATAATTGAACTCCCTCCAAGCTTTAACCGATAGTCTTCCGCTGAGGGGCTACCACATATCGTGTGTAGTACCCAGGAATTTTAGTGACTGAGATTCCCGCAGCAAGTTCTGAGTCCTCAATCACGTCTCAATCCCTAATCGACACCTCATTTCATTGCATTCATTGTTTGTCCTTGGGCGTGACGACACCGATACCAGGGAAGATCAAAGATCGTGGCGACAACCGTTTAGCTGATAGCTCAACCTCGTTGTGGTGTCTCATAAAAAGTCGTGTCCGAAAAACCGTGGCTGTTGATCACTCACGGAGTGTGTAAACAGATACTTTCTCATGGTCGAAGGGATGCCGAGAAAATGGAGGTCAGTGTGGCCGTGAATGCGATGACCGGGTTAATGGAATTGAATCAGCATGATACACTATAATAGTCCTTATAAAAATGTTCCTGTAGCCACAGAAGATGTGCTCTGATTCGTTGTTTTCAGTCTGTTCGGATTTGCTGAGCTCTCGCGAGTGTACTTGGTTTTACCCAGCACAGCTCAGACGTTTCGAAAATTAGTGGATCGGGTTCGATATGATCTCAAATTTACTTCTGTCTACAACAGTACCATTCTAGGTAGCATCAATAATTTGCGAATTTGCCTAAATTCTTTAGTCCCTCTCAAGACCTACGTACTCCTACCTATCCTTGAGTGTTTTTTCGGATTCACTAGCTTGTAATCTCTTTGACACCACATCAGCACACACACGCACACATGATATCGAACTCCGAAACGGAAAAACAGCAGTGTCTCAGGAGGACCAAGTGCCAATCACCGCCTTGGTTCGTTCAGCTAAAATGTGTGCTGTACACAGGAGGCCTTCGAGGTTTCCGTACCTCTGTGGAAAACCCACAAAAGATAACACTCGCCTGTTATGTTTGCCCGTAACAAAGAGGAAACCACTCAAATAACGGTACCAGATCCCTTGTTGACGCTAGAACCAACCTTCCCACGCTACTGCAAGAACAAGACCAAACCTCGTGTAGAGAGTTTTAATCACGTCAGCCACGTGCGGAGTGGGTTGTCAGAAGTTTACACTAATTCGAGTCAAGGTTGACCGTGACCTGATAAAAAGCGCAACAAAACACATGTTAGGGAATTAGTGTAAATAGTGCCAGAAACCAATGACGAGCAATCTTGGGGAATCGTGGATCCCCAACATCGCCACAGGAACTAAGCGGTGGAAGGTGTAGTGTTGAATGCCACGAAACGCTACTACAGACACGGATAGGTGGAGCCTCTAGTGTGAACGGGAGCCTTTAAAATAGCAGGTGATGTGGTTCTCGAATCACTCGCGTCATTTTCACGCAAAAAACCATCTAAAGCCCAGTAAATTACCATCCCAAGATTAGTCTTGCCGCCAATTTCTGCTGCAGACGTTCTCGCTATCAACAGAAGCGAAGTAACGTTGGTGTTTTTGCGAACCACCTGACCAGCGGTCGACGCGACCCCATATTTCAAGTGTTTCAATGTTTACAGCCGGCACCCGCCACAATTATGGGACTAAAATGTCGTTACTGACGCACTTTACGAGACACGCATTCGGCTCCTGACGTCAACACCGAACAGCTAGATGCGGAGTAGGCAACCGACACGCAAGCCGACAGCTTCGACAATTTTTTTTCTGCTTTAAACGAAATGCCACTTTCCCACTGTTGCAGGGCAATCATATGCGAGGTGGCAAAAAGGAATACCATATCATTGTGTTTTTGTCCCATTCACACGACTTATTGTGTAGAAAAGAATTTTCCCTCTGATGTGGACGTTTTCCACATGCTTGCATATACATATTTGGGTAGTCTTGCAGAAAGAAATTACCCATGCGTTAATGGAATTTGGAGTGTCGTTTTACGGTATCTCTGAGTGAATCACTTCAAATCCCGTTGTTCAATCTACGTTATGCTTATTTCGAAAGCTGTCTGAATGGTGTTTGTATAAACCTTAAAATCTCAGTGTGGCTACCGGAATTCCCAACGGTATATCATTTGGAGTGTTTCATATCGATCTGCTTAGTTCGGAGGCATCAGCCTTACTCATTCTCTCATGTCGATCAAATTTTACACCTACTGGAGTCTGATTCGTGGTGCTGAAGGCCCCAGCATGTGGCCTCGAACCACACCGGGCTGCAGGGTTATATTGGCGAAGTAACGCTGCACCGAGACCTGAGACAATCAAGAAGACAGGAGACAGAGACGTTTACCAGCTGGATCAGCCCAGCTGTGCTTTTGACGTGTGTATTCAGTCGTGCATAACTAATGCGGTTTGAGTGAACCCGTAAAAGTACAAATGCCTGAATGACCAGATGAGTTAAATCGGTAGCGGATGTGGGGGTACACGCACAGGGGTGTGAGCAGACAGGGCCGCGTGACAAACGGGCACCCTGTGCTAAGGGGGTGGTGAGTCAAAGAATGCGGCGACAGAGCGGATGGACGCGACTCAACACGATTCAGTACAGTGGTCTATGTTGTCTCGACGCAGTCTTGAAATCATCGGCTATGTTAAAAGAGGGCAATTAGTAGTTATTGCTCAATCCGTTTGCCAGATCTCTATTTGTCTTCATAACTTGACGCCCCAAAATATCAGTAAATATCAACAGGCCCCTGAAACGCGAAGCGTACAATCACGAGTGGCTGATGTAACTCGTTAATTGAATCTGATCTATGTGGAAACGCTACTCCGTTTCGAATTAGAACACTGTGATGAAAAAAACGAAATATTCCAGCAGTCCGGAAGTTTTATCGCTGTTCCTTCTGAACGGCATTGCTAGCAGTTCGGGGAAACTAGCTTAAAATCAGTTTACTTAGGCAGACATTTCAAATGAGGCTGTTGAATGGGTAGAACTTCGGGAAGGTCAAATTTTTGGTGCCTACCTGGCCCTCATTTTGGCAAGCCAGTCAACTCAAAACCTCACGGTCTTCACAATAACTCCAAACCATGGTCATGCCCAGTGTGTTTATACCTATTTCCCTGCAGGAACGTGAGAAGTCGCAGAGTATCGCCATGACGTCGGCAAAAATGGACCTCAGCGGACTTGAGTCCGAGTACCAGTGTTCGCAGCTTTACCTCAAGCAGGTGCGCCACGTGATCCATCTGGTGAAAGAACAGGTGCCCGAGAAGATTAAGCTCGAGGGGATGGTCCGCGGCCTCATTCAGGAGGTGGGTGCATAATTCAGCCTAGTTATTTTTGTGTTCTGAGCCCAGTTATTGAGCGCTTAATGCTAATAGAGAGGGAGAATTTAATTGGAGGATAATTATCCAATCAGGTGTTTGGTTGTGAACCTCTGACTCAGCGACAACGTAGATAAAACTGATCGAACTACAGACGTGGTCGCTCCAGATTAAAACAAACATTTGTTGCCGGTGGCAATGTATTAAATCAGACAAAGTCTAGATCGTAATTTCGTAGGTTAATGAAGACAGCACGCATAGGTTTATCAAAATCACCCCAAGCTTTGCGTCATGTAATTTAAAATATCGGGGAAGACAAATGTTTATGCTTCAACCAATAGGTGTGCACTCTGTCAAAGCATTCCTACCAAAAAATACACTTTCAAGATGTCGCTGTCTTGTGAGAGAGCTTCAAGTCTACAAATGTCCTCTTGGCCACCCTCACTTTGCAGCATTATTTACGTAATGTCATAATCTTTAATTAAATGGCAAAACTGTTGGTGTAGGTTGAGGATCTCGCAGCGTAGGCCTCCAAGTATAGACGAAACGTGGCTACTGCTAGGCATTTTAGATCCAGGGTGTTATTGTTTGTCGCACTTTTTCATCAGTAGGATGTAATACTGATCCAGCTGTTGTCTTTTGGAAGTCTACAGTAGAACACGTCCCTCTATTCCCCCTCCAGTGTGAGTACAACACTTTGGGAATAGAATAAGGCAAATAGGAGTCGATGCTCGAGATATCAGACTTGGGTTCAGGGGAATCGAAAATTCGACGCAAGTGGCCCATTAAATTGATCTTCAAGAATCAACTGACTGAAGCTCGTAAGGGGAAAGTGGTTACGAAGACGTTTAGCCAAGCCGCAAAAATAATCAATAAACGCCACCTCTTACAGTCAAACATGGTGTTACCTTAAATCCGTGGTATTTTACACGTCGCGATTAATACCAGCCCAGTAGCTTTCTCTTGTCGATACGGTTAAAATAATTCCAAAAAGTGACCGATTTTTACTTGATGTAGCAACACTCATTTCCTTAATTTCCAAAAGTAGTCATTTCAATACTTGAACCTTACCGTGGTCTTGGCAACTGTTGTCGACAGTTAGACAAGACTTCAAGTCTTTCTTAAAAGCCATGGAGAGGCCGACTCCCATGAACTTATCTTCTAAGTCAACCCTTTTTCTATGAATATCGTCTAAGTGCACCTTTTTAGCTTGCTGGTACGGCATCAATCAAATCGCTGCATTAAGAGCGGCACTTAATGCCCTGCTTTCTAGTCTAAACTTGCAAGACACGCACCATCTAAGTCCATAGTTAATGCCCCCGTCTAAGATTGGGTAAAAACGTCGATTGCTTGAGAAGGTAGTTTACGAATAAGGTGAGAATTTTAGAACAATGCATAGGTTGTTTGATTGGGTTACATTTGATTCCTAGTTCGACGCATTGTATCACAGGTCAAGTTAGTAGGGTTATATTAAATAAAGTTCATACATAAATGCGCATTGTTGGTCACCAATCTACATTCACTACCACTAAAATTTGAATTGGCTGAGCAGCATTGTTTGTAAGCTTGGAATTATTCTCAACCTACTAACTTTCGGGGTTATGCGGGCTGAATGTTATTTGTAGTGATTGCCAACAGTCCCCAAGTGACGTAATTCGAGCTCGCTTGAGCGTTCTACAAACAATAATTTTGGCAAATATGTCAATTATCGATTTTTTTGGCGTAATGGTGCTTTTCCACAGCTTATTGGTATCCGCGCGCGAAAAGCTCAGTTGATCGCCTGTTACGAGGATCCTGATTGGCCAGGACGTCTACGACTCCTGGGAGGAGTGGATCCAAGCCAATCAGAGCTGTGGGTTATTCTTGGAAAACTGGAGAGGCGTCTCGCGAGTAAGGAAGAGGATCTTGCAGAGAAGAACCTAACTTACGAGGCCATCTGTCGAATGGTTGATGCCCTGCAAGTTCGCACCGATGCCAACAGGTAAGGAACCAAAATGAGCATGACCAATGAGGCCAGCAGCAATACACTAGCCGCAATAGAACAAAGGTAAAACTAACACCTTAAACATCGGTGAATAACACTTTCGCATCAAGTAGTGTCCCTTGTCTGTTTGTTGTGCGGTGATTTGAGCGGACGTGGATCCACTTAGCAACGAACAGTCGGAGGTGAGATCCGTTAGAGAGCGAATGCTCGGCGCGTTAGTATCATGAAGCTTCTACATTATATTATCCACGGTCACCCGTTTGATGGCTAGATTCCACCGAAAATAAACCTATGCATCCTCACAGAAAACGCAAAATATCTCTTCCAAAAGCTGGAGATGTGTTCATAAAAATACATTTCCAACAAGCGGGCAGTTGAGAGGCATAATTTTCAACCAATTCTGTTTGGCTTTACTGAACACTCTCAGAAACAAGATACAAATGAATTAATACACTAGTAGTAATCAGAAGAAGGCCCGGAAGATCAGTTAGGTAACACAATTGCCTCATGGCGTTTTAGAGATCTGGTGCGTCGTTCTCGGTAAATTTTCACTTCCCACGGGATGACGACAGAAACTAGATAATGTAAAACTCCTTTGTGAAAACTTATTATGCCTCTTCGTGATCGAAATCTACACCAGCTACCTCGTTGTGGCGACGCGTTCTATTTTTGAGTCTTCACACCATATGGGGCTGCACGTGCAGTCAGAAATATGAGCACAACTAGCAAATGGCGCCAAAACCGTTATGTTTACAGCGGGTTAAAGACACTGATAGGAGGCCAACAATAATGCGAGTCACGATGGAATCTTTGTGGACATAGGAACTGCCGCTACAGATACCAACACGCAACTAACATTCCATTGTTCGTATTCAGAGAAAACACGCTTACGATGGCGACTCAAGTGAACTGCGTCCAACGCAGGATCCTCAAGCTGCGCAAAAGGTTGGAGACGAAGTACGCTGAGCTCATCATCGCAAACTCAGAGAGGAGCAAGCTGCAGCAACTAGTTGGAGTAAGAATCGCAGTAGAACACATTTAGAAGTCCGCCTAACCTACACGAACCTCCATTTGTAGGAAAAGGAGAAGCACCTTGACATCTGCACCATCCGAATGATGAGCGGCATGCCACCGAGCGTAGAAATTGAACGCGAGTACGAACTCAGGAGGCGCCGAGAGAGGATACGCAAGGAATACAGGAGCGAAAAGGCCTTTGGCCCCAAAAGGGTAAGATTGCACGGCCAACCCACGAACCTGAATACACTCGAACTAACGCTACATCCACCTTTCAGATTTTGCCGATGGAACGCCCGAAGACATCGCTACCGACCATTAGGCCCACAAGCAAGCCCAATGCAGCAAGAAAATCCTTTATTGTAACGGCCACCAGGCGATTTCGTTAACATGTTCGAACAAGAATCACTTTATTGAAAAAAAATTGGTACAAGGTCTTTGAATTAAACTCCGATCGCTTGAACGTTGTAAAAGCAGTAGGGAACACCGCGATATAGACATACACGAGACGACTCGACAGATTTACGACTCACCAAGCAGGCTCCACCATGCTGGACCCCAAAGCTGAAAAGGAAGAGAGACAGTGAGCAACGTTCAGAAAAACCATTCAACATAACTTTATGACTGGGGCGGTGAACAATCATCATTGGCTGAAATGCATCCCTTACCCAGATGACCAAGCAGACCAGAATCCTAAACTTGGGGCGTTCCTCTGCGAAGCCGATACCTTAGATTGCCCGATCGGGCGTCAGTTGAGAATTTTTACTCAAATAGACTTATGATTGCTACAAACTTAGAGATGAACACAACATGACGCCTCAGTGGGAACCATTAGCTCGTTGAAGGCCCATTGAGAACGTCATGTCGGAGGGACGGGGCGTGACAACTGACACGGCAGGGGGCAGAACACGTGCTAATATTATGCACCAAATCAGCTAAAACAAAAGGGTGATGTTCACGTCAAATCAAATATTGCGTTTAAAGGTATCTTTAAAAATGGAGCTGCAAAAATGTAAACTATAAAGTTTTCAAAAAGTTTAAGTTAATTAGCACAATTTTTCCCTTCAAATAAGTGAAATCAGAAATAACCTGCCAAAATGTAGGATATGTTAAAACATTTAACTTAAATAAAGCGTCCATAAAACGAATACGTTGATACAATTCATCATTACCTACTATCGAATTTACATCTTTTGACAATTTTGAAAAGGAATACTGGCTGCTCACTTCTCAGAATAAAGCAAAATTGCTTATAAAAATTTTACATGTCTACTTCAATCGCTACTCTCTAAATTGTACAATGAATCCTTATCTTTGTTTCTGGCTGGGTACTAATCTTCCTAGTTGTATACTTAAACAGGCATAGACTTAAGTCAACCCACGTTCATCGTGAATCCAAACGTATATGAAATTTACATGGACACCAAATGTTGTTATTTATGTCATCGTACAACAAAAAGACATAGATATTTAGACTTGCAACGAACTTCGGTAGCATTTTAAAAAGCCCTAATCACCAACATAAAAAACTTGATAACAGCTCTACTAAAAAATGGACAGCAAAACTTCGAGGAGAAAACGGCGGAATCTAAATTTTTCATGGGACAACGTGGAACTGTTAAAAAGAGAGGTAAGTGAAGGGTACCAATGCCCTTAGCATTGGAATCATTAGGTCTTTTATATTATTTCTTTTTTTATCATCCGATTTAATCCCAATTTTTTGGCTTACTGACACAGTAATTTCAGGATGTAATATTTCTGTTTTGCCTGACCGAGTCGATATCAAAAACACTAAAAAGGGCTGTTATTGCTTAAATTTTATTTTAGAGCCTCTTTTTTACACCCTTATACTAAAAATTCCCAGTATAGAAGAAAATCGTTCACTATATGGCTTACACCTAGCCTGGGAATTCGTTTCGTTATTCGTCAACACAGGTGCTTGTGGTACCAGAGCTAAATGCTTTAAAAACACATTAATGACTTTTATAAAGTCGGCAATTCAATTATAGCTATGATAAATTCAAAGTTTGGTCCTCGACTGTATATTTGGTAATTCAATCAATCATAGAACTTGGTACGATTATTAAAGCGAAATTAGGACTGAGCAACTGTCGTCAAGGTAAATAAAAAAAATGATCTGACTGTAAAGCAGTGCCATCTCGGATAATGGTGGTGGCACATATAAATAAATTTGGGCGTTAACAAATCTTCGGTGCGAAAGGCATTCTATCATATCACGAAAAGACAAATGCCCAACGACTTTCTCTTTAGATGAAATTGTATTTATATTTCCATGAGTCCGTTGGACCTATCATAATTTTTCTTAATTCAACTACTGCATAATACCTTAATAAATGAGTCATCTTGCTTTAAATTTAATTTATTTAGTCAAATGACAATGATGACATCAAACATGGACGCAAGAGATGCCAAGTTAAATGTAAAAGCTTTTAACAGTTAGCAACGTATGATGAAATGAAACGGTGGAACATATTTAGCGGGTGCATTGCTGGAATATCGAGCCAATGTTGCCCCTAATTACACGTTTTAGCTATTAATCACTGCTAAGTTCGCGTATAATGTCATACAGATAAGTTGACTTGTCAGCTGCCTATTGGAATGCAAAAAGATCCAACTTTATGCTTTTGACCCTTTTAATCGCGAAGCTTATTAAAGATAAAGATTGCACGACCAGATATTAGGACCTGGCTAACATATATGAAGCACAATTTAAGGTTTAAACGTAATCATGCGATTGGCTTTCACCAAAAACTGATTTTTTCCAGGGTTTCATTTACGTTATTAAGAGACTGTGAGAAACTGAGAGAATTGAACAAAATTATTACCAAAATTTATTTAACATTCTTGTAAACTAATTGTGAATAAGTGTTTTAGGGCCAGCAATAATATGATTTTTGTCGCCCTCTATAGAGCTGAATAATTTTTTTAACAAACTTAGGTGTTTTTTAAGGGTTTTGACAAAGCCTTTTTGAACCAAATTTTAACTCCTACGAAGCAACAGGGATAAAATGCACATAGTTTATATCTGTTTTCCATGCATATATAGCAGTGGAGAAATTAACAACAGAAATTCAATGGAATACAACTAGTTTAGTCACTCAAGAAGATGAGTTTTTCATTCTACTATTTTATAATGTGTAATGGCAAATGTGTCACATTGTGTGAATGTTCCAAGCTTCAATTGTTGAACCTTATAAAAAACCTTCCACAATTGAGGAAGATAAAATTAAAATGCAATAATTTTTTGTTATGAATATAAAAAATGCGTCATATAATTGCTTTTTTATAAATGGGCTTGTAGTTTGTATCGATCACGAGTAAAGGCGGTTCCGATGAAAGTTCGCTTGAATGCCTATCGCGCTTTTTGGTACTTGTGACTTGTATCGCTCTGATTAATTAGGATCGCAGATATAGTTTAAAAATTGCTTTGAACGCATTTTTCTTGTTCGTTTGTAGACTAATAACATTGGGATAAACTCGTATGATGCCGCACTTTAACTGTCTACGGAATTTTGTTTTGTTGGCTTGATCGTCACTTTGTGGATTTTTTTGTTAAGAGCTGGTTTGAATGTTGACTTTCCCATCAGAAAAATATATTCTGGTTAGCAACTGAATGCAAGGGAATATGATTAAATACCTACGGGTTTTACTTTTATTACTCATTGACAAAGTCCGCTAATCCTTATTGGCACGGCTATGTCAAATTTTATTAACTTGGTGTTTGCTCATGTTTGGTTGGCTTGACTTAATGTATTTGACAGCAGCGACCTTAATGCTGTTGTCTTAAGAACTATTGCGCTGTTAAACAATTTTTTCTCTGATTCCCCGGAGGTCTGTGTAAATAATTCGGTCGAACTTGTTTCTTTATTGCTATCGCAGCATCAGAATGCATGCTGCAACAAGAGTTTTTTTTTACGTTTTATAAATTTTGCCTCCTAAGTTTGCCTGTAATGGTCTATGCACAACTTTTTTTGTTAAGATGCATATGACAAAGTGCCTAAACATATTTATTGCCTCGAAGTGGGGTGATTTCAATTAGCGGTCTTTTAACGTATATTGATTATTTAATGACATTCTAGAATTTAGTTCGTATTATTATGTAGATGTAAACGGTTAAAAGGCACCTTAACTTTTTCTAGGTTACATGTTCCCTTTGCAGGATGGTGGTCGTCACCCTGCTCGATCAATGACTCCGAATTCTGTGGTATCAAGTCCAAATCACGAGGACCTAGTTTACCCCTCACCACCTACGTCTCCATTTATTCGCGAACCATCCAATCTTCGAAAAAAAGTAGTGGTTGTAATCCAGTCGACGGTATCCTCCGATTCAGTTACCTCCACTGTGGTCGAAAGTAACATATCGCCTCTGGCTAATTTGGGCGCCGTCGACTCATCAAACATCAGTGAATCCGCGTCGTCTGAGTATGAGTCAAATCCGGAACCTTCTTCAAGCTCATCTGATGCGTCGGAACAAAAGGCACGCCAAAGTTCAGAGTGTTAGCTTTTTCAACTCTGCTAGTGTGTGACTGCATTGTTTCAAATCTTTCAGTGGACCACGTTCTCTAATAAACCAAAGTCACTATGCTGATCTGTCATCCGTTTCTCTACGTAGTCGAAAAGCGAAGGGTTACCGCCTTAGCTACATTAGCACCACTACTTGTTTCTCGAACTTTCTTTTTCATTTAGGCTAAGTGTCGAAAAATGCGACGCCTTACTTGTCCAATTTGCAAACGAAAATTTGTCCGACGAGGTACCTACAGGTTGCATCAGTACAGGAAACACGGGCTTTTACCGATAGCCTGTGAGGAAGAGGGTGAGTCGTCTGTCTGTTTTAAGGTCACTGGGTCATAAATGTTATTTTCCTCATTTAGCTACGCGTGTTGCCGGTTGTTTTCCAGTGAAACCAAATGACTGCATGCATGCATTTGAGGTGTACCAGTTCAGCCTCGAGCAATTATCGCATTGTTCCATAAAATATAATCGTTTTGTACGCTGCTCTCTTTTCAATTAAACTTCTCTATCAGTAACGCTTGGAAGTGGTTAGCTTTTTGCGTGTTGTCAGTACTAACTGTTATAAAATCGACATCGTAGAGGCTGCCACAAATTGAAACCGTGATTGACTCGCAGCCTTTCGGTTGTTAAAAGAAAAAAAAAGTTTTTGGCCTGTACTGTCTAATTGCTGTGACCATTCAATAGTACGCATGTGCGAATACGACGTTGTTCTCCCGTACAGGGAATCTCCATCTAGCGCTCCGCTTTTTGCGTTTCAGGATGTAAGGAGCGTTTCGCGACGCTATCCGCCTTGTTCAAGCATCGTGCTATCCACGATCCCAACAGTCGCTATC